GAAATGTTCACAGAGAAAGAAGTAAGAGAAGCTATTTTTCAAATGAAACATAATAAGGCATCAGGTCCTGATGGGTTTTTGGCTGAATTCTATCAGATATTCTGGTCTCTCATAAAAGATGACTTAATGGCCATGTTTAGAGAGTTCCATGCTGGTAAATTACCTCTTTTTAACCTTAATTTTGGGACAATCACTCTAATACCGAAACAAAAAGAAGTCAAACAAGTTCAGCAATATAGGCCGATTTGCATGCTCAATGTAAGCTTCAAGATCTTTACTAAGGTTTTGACTAACAAGCTAGTGGCGGTGGCTGATAAAGTAGTGAGACAATCGCAAATTGCATTCATGATAGGAAGGAACATCCTAGAAGGAGTAGTAATACTTCATGAAACTATTCATGAGCTACATAGGAAGAAAATGAGTGAGGTAGTTCTAAAATTGGATTTCAAAAAAGCCTATGACAAAGTTAATTGGGTATTTGTACAGCAAGCTCTTAGGATGAAGGGTTTCTCGCCAGTGTGGTGTAAATGGATTGAAGAGGTAGTGAGTCGAGGAAACGTGGGGGTTATAGTGAATGAGGAAATAGGCCATAACTTTCAGACTAGAAAAGGACTTAGGCAGGGAGATCCCCTCTAACCTATCCTTTTTTAATTTTAATTTACCAAATCTAGTCGATGATGGGCATATTGGCTATCCTAGATGATTTGGATGAGCAAAAAATTGCGAACAATTTAGGGGTTGGTACCAAATCTAGTCGATGATGGGTTTTCCATTCTAATAACCATGACGTTGATGATAAGGGAATTTTTGGTTTATGGAAGATGATTTGGATGAGGCCAAAAGCTTTCAAAAACCGGTGCTCGATTGGTAGCTTTTGAAAAAAAGTAGTTGGAAGGAAGAAGCTTAAAAATCAATTTCCATAAGAGTGAGTTGCCGATGTTTGTTCTTTCTTTGTCATCCCAAAAGGGTAAGGAAAATGTTGGATTATAACCATGGTTTGGAATACAAAAAAGAGAATAAATTTTATCATGTAAACCGAGTGTATGGGAGGAATGGGAATTTGGAAACTTCGAGAATCATTCCTTTAGATGGTTATTCAAGCTTTTAGGAATTCCAATGCACTAAAAGGAAGTATAAAGCTTTCAAATAAACGTCTAGGGACTCTCATTTTTGTCTCGATGGGGATAAAAGATTTGTTGTTACAACAAGTAAGCAAAGTTAACAATGGTCAAAAGCTAAGTAGTTGGAGGGCGTGTGGATTGAGTTTCTTTCTTCTTGGAGGCGATCTGTAATTGTAAGGAAAAGAGAGGGTATCGATAGCTAGTGTTTTAAATTCAACACCGCTGAATGTCTCATTTAGGCGGGGATTAGCGGGTGACAGACTAAATGAGTGGCTAAAGCTAGTCTCTTTAGTTCTTCTAGTAAGCCTAAATAATGATAAGGACAGCTTTATTTGGCAAATAAAAAAGAATGGAGTTTTCTCCACACAGTCATTATATAGGGAATTAATGAGAAGAGAGAGGATTTCAGAGAATAATGTGTTCTGTAAAGCAAAATTACCTTTGAAAATTAAAGATTTCCTTTGGTACTTAAAGAAAGGGGTGATTTTAACAAAGGATAACTTGATTAAGAGAAGATGGAAAGGAGATACTAAGTGTAGCTTCTGTGGGTTAGAAGAAAATATCCAACATCTTTTCTTTGATTGTCGAATAACTAGATCGGTTTGGAATACATTGTTCATCACCTTTAACTTTCAACCACCGAAGAGCATTACTCACATGTTCGGATCTTGGATAAGGAGATTTGCTCCTGAGCTAAGAAATCAAATAATAGTGGGAATTGCAGCCATGTGTTGGGTATTATGGTTGAATAGAAATGAGGCAGTATTCCAAAATTGAGTTACTAATTCTTGCTTGCAGGTACTTTTCAGGGGGGCTTTTTGGATCAGGCAATGGTCCATGTTGTCTAAAGAGGAAGAGGGAAGAAAGTTGAAGGAGGGCTGCAGGCGTCTAGAAGGCTTGTCACTGCAATTTTTTGGATCCAGTGGGTGGAGGAATCAAAAGAGAATAGAATAGTAATCTTCAGGGGGACGTACTGAATCCGGAAATGGTCGTAGCTATCTAAAAAGGAAGAGAGAACGGCTATAAAGTTTGGATGCAAGAAGTTGGAAATGATGGTTGGAAATCTTCAGAAGTTCCGTGTGGAAGCAACACAAGAGTTTAGAGAACAAGCTTCTTTTTGTTGTATCCTGAGTGCCAGTGTTTGGACACTATGAGTGTTGCCTGTTTAGCTACAGTTTGGAGTTAGGGTTTAGCTGTTTAGCCGTCTTTAGTTTGGCTGCATCCTATGCGCTGTGTTTAGACACTGCAAGAGTCGTTTGGTTATCAATAGTCTGGAGTTGGGGCTAGTCTGCTTAGCGGTCTTTGGTCTTCCACCATGGTTTTGTATTGGTTCAGTTTGGTTGTACCGATTATGAACGTGGGAGACCGGAATTCCTTAATCTAAAAAAATTGGCCCTGTTATTGAGCTGGCTCTTGGCTAGCGCCGGAGAAAACCGCAGAATGGTATATTCTCTTCTGCAGACTGCAGGCCTGCAGCCCCGGCGGCGTACGTACACCTGTGCGGTAAACGCCGCGAGTCCCGTGGAAGGCACGGCCCCGACCCAACTCGACTCCGGCGGTTCCGTCACAGTGTCGTCACCCACCAGACACCAGCCCACCACCGGCCTCCGGCGCTTGCTACATGGGCGCATTCCACAGGCCGGGCCCCACGACGCAGTGTTTTCCACGGACCACGGTCCACGGCTGCACCGTACGGCACCGCCCACCATGATGTAAGCCATCGGTCCATGGACCGCTCCCACGCGGATCTCGCCCCCTCCCCCCGACGAGCGTAACCGCGACGCGGAGTACCCGCCACACCCACACAGCAACTGCACCACCGGTTCGGCCCCCACGAGACGTGGCCCCCACTCTCCAGGCTCTCTAGCCATGTGGGTCCCACTCTGCAAGCTTTTCGTCCATTTCTCAACTTCCTTTTCGTTTTCTCTCTCCTATTTTTTTTTTCTTTCTGGATGATCAGCGAGGAAATCTGCGCCCTTTAACTCGCGTCGCGTCCTTCCCTTTCTTCCCTCTGTTGCGTCCGTCCGTCGTCTGCGTCTCTCACTCCGCCCGTCCGTCCGCCCGTCGTCACCAGCCTCCTCCCTCGCGCCCACCGCCGGGATCCGGCGCCCCGTCTGCGCCCGCCTCGGTCTAGGTACGGGCCCTGCTTCTGATCCGGGCGCCTCTGGTTTGCCTGCCTGCCATACCATGCTTGCGATGAATTCGGCGGTTCGGTTTGGTACTGGGGTCCTGCTGGAATGTTGGGATAAGGCTCTTCGTTTGGGATCCTGGCCGTGTTTTTGGCCGTGGGTGGGCAGGAACTGGCTTGCCTTCGATGAAATTTGGGTGTCCCCCTGGTGATTCGGGCGCTGTTTCGTTGCTTGCTCGTGTGGTGTCACAGACTTGCGGGACGGCCTGCGCCTTGGGCCAAACTTGAGTTCGGGAATTTTCCTGGTGGAATTGGGAACGGTCGGACTAGGGATCTTGCAAGAGCGCACCAGAATTGATCCTTTCCGTGGAAATTTTGCCGCTCCAGTCGATGTTTTGGCGCTTGAGGTTATGAATTAGTATCTTGTTTTAGGCTTTATCCTGATGAAGATAGCCAAGCATTTCTGATCTAATAAAGCATTAACTTGGCCTTGTTTATTCTTCATACAATTTATCATTTGCGTGTCGATTAGGGCACCTGTGCCTCAGGAAGCAATGAAGATCCATTTCGTTGCCGTGTCAATTGCTAATCCCACATTAAGTGTACACATGATTCCTTGCCTAAGGCCCAGGCAAAGAGCTGACGCTTAGTTCTTAGTGCATTGTTGAGTGGATAAGTAAGGTGATTTTAATTAGGAAAAGGTGTATCCTATCGCAACAAGATTGGCTTCAGACTGGTTGATTTTGGACCAAACTGTGGCAAAGGGAATCCTTTGCCAAGGCCCATCCATGTGCTAGTGCTATCGATCTGTACTGAACAAGGGAGGACCAAGAGGAAAAGTATACGACTAAAGAAGCTAGCTTTGCTTCAAATTCTTTCCTTGCACTGGTAACTTAGCATTTCTCAAAAGGGTGGAATCATTGGCTCAAGTGCAGAATCATTTGATTCCTTTAATTAAAAAGTCATCTGTTGTTGTTTTCCCTTCTAATCTGACAGATCTGAGATGAGGCATGAGGTGCTCCATGTGAGAGCTTTCCCTATACCTCTTATCTGGCTCTTGATTGTGACTTTATTTAATTGGCAATGTAGATCACATCTAACATGCTCCATTGATATGATTATTTAATGCCTTTGGTTGATCCACCTGCTTCCTTCATTTTCTGCGTGCCCGGCCAGTTCTGGATCCCATAAAGTCTATATATAACCTCTCCTGCCTTGCTTTTATTCTCCATTCTGGACTGAAGTTCCATCAGCTTCTCCAAGGAGGGTGAAAGGTCGCAAAGCTTCATTTTGCTGGTAATATGGTACTTGGTGTCTCATATCCTTGCCCTTCCCAGGTAGAGTCAAATTATTTTGTTTACATCGTGAGAAGAAACTCCATCTGATGGAAATGGTCTCATTTCAATACTTATTTTGTAAAACTGGAACCTAAGTAAATCTTCTTTGGTTATGTCTTGCAATATGCAGCTAGATTTACTTACATAAGAAAATGTGTTCCAGTCAACAACTTGTGAATGCATTAGATACACACACACACACACACACGTGTATTTAGTCCTCGCGTGATGGTGCAATGGTGTCACAGGCATTTTCTGTGCATACTCTTAAGGGTTGCTTTTTTCTGTTGCTTGCCATATCTTGAATGATGTATGTTAAGGAATCTGTGGCACGATCTTACATGATTATTCATAAAATTTACAGCTCCCCGCAAAGAATGTAACCATGCCCATTTATGACAGATTTCTGAGAACATGGCGAGAAGTGCGAGAGCTAGGAGGCATGTGGCTCGTCAGCTCAAGTCCACCCATCCCATTCCTTCATACCGATGGAAGGCAAAGGCGATGAAAAAATCCAACCGAAAGCAAGCGTCGCCAGCCTTGCAAAAGATGGACTGGGAAGATGCCAATTGCTCTGTGTGCATGGAATACCCACATAACGCCGTGCTCATCCTCTGTTCATCCCACGATAAGGGCTGCCGTCCTTACATGTGTGGAACTAGCTACCGCCACTCGAATTGCTTGGATCAGTTCAAGAAAGCCTACACCAAGGGGGCATTGCTTGAGGAAGTTCCTGCAAATAGCATTGGCACTAATCTGGATTCAGCGCCATTGACTGCAGAAAAAACTGAGTCCATTGACCTTGCATGTCCATTGTGTCGTGGCAAGGTGAAAGGGTGGACAGTGGTAGAACCAGCTCGAAGCTACCTCAATGGAAAAAGGAGAACATGCATGCAGGATGGTTGCTCATTTGTGGGGACCTACAAGGAGCTCCGCAAGCATGTCAAGTTGGAACACCCTCTTGCAAAGCCAAGGGAAGTTGATCCTGTCCTTGAGCAAAATTGGAGATTGCTCGAGATTGAAAGAGAGCGGCAAGATGCGCTCAGTACAATCACTGCAACAATGGGCAGAGCCGTTGTTCTTGGTGATTATGTGCTAGACTTGGAGGATGGAGTGGACTTGGAGGATGTTGACAGTGATGCAGATGTTGATGATGGCCGTGGGACAGAAAACACTCGTAGGATGCTTCTATTTATTATGCGCCAAGTTGCTCAACATCATCAAAACCAAAGGCTTCAGAATGCGACCGGTGCATCTGACAATGCCGAGGACAATTATGTGGTGAGCAGTGGTGCCAATGGAACCACACCATACTCTTACCCCTTGGAAGGGGAGGACGAGAATGATATGGTTGTGGCCGGAGGCAGAAGCACTGATGTGCTCAGACCAGAGAGGAGGCGCCGTCGCCGCCGCAGGAACCGTGGAAGATTATTTTTAGGTGCTAATTGAGAGGAAAGGTGGCCTGGTGAGGTTTAACCATCAGAGGAGTACATACATAAATGCTTCCCTGGTGCCTGGCATTCATCAATTCCGGCCTCAATTTACTTGTTCATGATCATGTACCAAGTAGTTATGTTAACATCAGCTCATTGTTTGCCATCAATGTATGTTATCTCACATTCTTTGTTGAAAAGGAAAACACCGCATCCATCTCTTGCGGTTTGTGTAGCCTCTATTTCTGTCTACTGCTTTAGCTACAGCATTTGTTGGAGGTCGAATTAGATTTGTCTTAAGTGAAACATACAGTATCTAATTTGACCATGTTTTAAAAAAGTATAGCAACATCTACAACATTATTAATTTCATAGTGCATTCTTATTATCAACTTTGGTTTATGAATCAGAACCACCAAACGGAGGGCATACTAATTTATTACTATACTGATGGCAAGGTATGGTCGCTCTTCCGTCGTTCGTTATTGTTTTGTCGTCTTTCTTGGATGACAAGGTTTTCTTTGTGTTTTTAATGGGGCCAGCCCTAGTGTTTGGTAGATAGATGCTCGAGAAAGCACACCTTGCAATGCAGGAGCTATAGCCTAGAGACCTTCCCCTCTAGGCATAACCCGAAAGTGCTGATCGCCGTTTGTTGGTTAAAGGCGCACTTGTATTGGTCGAAATTTTGAGATAAGTACCCCTAGAAAAAAAAGAAATTTAGAGATATATAAGTGTGTTTGGGTGTGTAGCAACAGTTGCTTACATAAAATTTCTTGAACTTTTCAAAAAAAATCATGCGCCCCAACTTTTACAGTAAAGTGTATCTATGTGCATCGTATAATTTTTTTTGGATAACCGGAATATTGTTTTTTCTTTCGTCTTCCATGTTGCAGAGGCAGTAGCCCTTCACAAATCAGCATTGACTGTATACTAGCACCAAACCTACACCACCAGGCTACCTACCAAACTTCCAGTAGAATTTAGTACAGTACAGACAGGAAGAAATAGCTTATAATAAGTAACTTACAAGGGTCAAAACTGTACAAGGGCAACATTTTGAACAATTGCCATCTGGAACTAATTGAGCAAAGCTTTTACTAAAAAATCCTTATCAGAAACATCCCAGATTTGCAATGATAGCAGGAGAACCAGCAAATAAATAAAAAGAGAAAACAACAGTTAACTTACTAGAAATATACTGAGTTCCTGCAGCAATTTGGTTAGTTAGATTGTTATGTTGATTCAAAAATTACTGTCATCCTGCACATTTTAAGGGTTTATGAACATGTGTGTTGTAGCGTGAGGGTAACAGCCGGCTGGCTGAACCCGTCCCGACCAGCGAACAAGCCCATTATACAATTGAAATTAATAGCCTCAACATACACTCTCTAACTTATGATCCACTGACATAGCATTACAGTTTTGTACAGCGCCATTGTACAGAACATTTACTTCTATATACACTCGTTACAGCTCTGGAATACCGATATGTGCACGTCCACAGCAGGTCGTCCACAACAGCCTAAATCAGTCAGCGCATTTGAGCTGGCACGCTTTCGTGCGACCTCCATCAACACCATAGATCACACTATCAGTAGTGGCCAATGCCAAGCCGATACTACCACGCTTTAGGTCATCTCATCTCGTGGCAGAATCCGTCATTACTTTCTTCTTAATGATTGTTGGCATACCGTAACACACTGGAGATGCGCCTATCAGAAGTGGAAGCTTGCAAGCCCGCCTAGCTTCACTTAGATATGAAGCTATTCGCCTCTGCCTGCAGCTGCAGCACTTGGTACTATCCCTTATTTGTTGTTGCTTATTTCCTCGTGTGCCTCGTCGTCTTGCTCTACCTTTTTCCTCGGAAGCTATACTCATGGACTCAAATTCCTTTGTTAACTGGCAACATTTTGAACAATTGTTGCCATCTAGGGAACTGTCATGCAACCACGAATTGAGCAAAGCTTTACTAAACCGATCGATATCCTTATCAGAAACATCCCAGAGATTCGCAATGATAGCAGGAGAACCAGCAAATAAATATGACAACGGAACCCCTCGAGGAGCATAACTCCCTTTGCAATGAAGTGTTCCACTGCTACATCCCATAAGAAGAGCAGCTGCACAGTTATCTATCTTCTCGATTTCCTTACTAGAAATATACTGAGTTCCTGCAGCAATTTACAGGTTAGTTAGATCACAGACTCGTTATGTTGATTCAACCAGCCATTACTGTCATCCTGCACATTGCATAAGGAGTATATGAACAATACACACTTAGGGCTTGTTTGGATGCACTTGTATCCATCTCAACCCATGTGTGTTGTAGTGAATTCTGGTGGAGATTAGTTAATTTTCCACAATCCAACCCAATACATGTGGATTGAGGTGGATTTGAGTGCAGCCAAACAAGGCCATAGGAATTACTTGTGCTGGTTCATATTCATCAATAGTTGCATAAAAGACTGGTCCTCAACGACATTAGACACTTAAAAAGAAATTCTTGGCTCTAGCACAAGCAGAATAGCAGATTAGAATAGCAGATTGTTCCCAGTTATGTCTGCCAGTATGCTAGTTGCAGCGAGCATGTCATATAGCCCAAAGCCGCAATCTAAACAGTCTAGTTTTCTTATGGACTGGGCCTGGGGCCATGGGTTCAGCAGCTCAAGGCAAAGCAACAGCCGCACATCAATGCAACAGACTAGATGTGCCAGGCAAGGAAACATGCAAAGATTAGATTAGTATTGATTGGTCAGATAAGATCATATAATTGAATCTGTTAGCTATGTTTTTAAGGAGCCAGCCTATAAAAGAAAGGCATATGGAAAGCTCTAGGATTACGGAAGAAACCTAAAAGCAATCAGAACCTCCAGAGGAATGGCGCCTAGCAGTTTCTTCTTGGTATCCCATCTACCTAAGTTAATCTCAATCCTTATCAAGTTTAGTCCATGGTGATGGAAGGTATATATATATTAAAAAAAACTGGGCTCAGGGCATTTAACCTAAAAAAACTTCACCTAGGGCTATGCTGGTACTAGTAGATTAGTGATGTAGCCTGTGCTATCACACAGTTAAAAAAATTAGTTGTGATGCATCAAGCTGCCAATAGGGAGGGATATAAATAGATTCTAAACAACTAAGATGAACCATCAGCTACGCCTACAACTAATAAGGGAATGAAACTTCAAACAACTAGGAACAATTACAAGGCAAATATCCAACAAAATTTAAACATACCACTTCCATGCCCAAAGTACAGGAAAAGGTCATGATTTGTCAAGGCCAAAACCAGCTCGTCAGCCTTTGGAGAATTCCCAGCCAATCCCTGCACAACATAGTTACATTGTTTGCAGTTATGATAGCATAATGTAAATTTACCTTCTAACATGCAAATGAAAGGAAAATGGATCCTTGACAAGGACAATGAAAACATATTAAAGCTTATTACTATGTTGCCATTGGTAATCGGTATGTCCTTTTACATCTTTAAATCTAAATTGGCATTTTACTAGCGTGGGTGGCTTCCAATGGCACCAAAAATTACTTTTCCCCATGCAATGGTTTGGATCACTATCCTCACGACCTCACTTTAACGCAAAAGGATTGGACAGAAAACCCGATGCATTCTTCATTGATTCTAGTGGTACATATAGGTACAGGAAGCATATACAGCTATGGAAAGAATCAGGGAGATCATCTCCTCTAGTCTAGGGGTTAATTATGGCAAGATAGAATCAGTATACAAATATGCACCGTCTGTATGTAGAGCGCAGAATCATTTTCTAATGAAAGCCATAATTAGCTTAACAATGACATGTAATAAATTTTGTAGAATACAGTTCCTACGATTAAATTCACTTCTGATTGATGTTGAACTGAGTGACGTGGAAGTGACACCTAAAACTATGAGTAAACCATATTCTTAACAAAAGTTACTACTAACCACTTCTATACACCATATACATATTTACTTTATAAGACACTTATATTACATTTCAAACTTTTATTTTGAACAAAACTTCTGCATTTCAAACTCTCATCTTAGCATCCAGTGAAGAAAATTTTCACGAGAGATAATTAGTTGGGAGAAAGGAGCCAATTTTCTAATATGATTACCAATTTAGTTTTGACAAGCCATGTGTTTACCTTCCACTCGTAGTTTCTGAATAACCGAACAAATTCTTCTTGTGTGCTGCTCAGGTCACCGCTTGGATTCAACAGATAATATGTATTTAAAGGATCGATGACAGGAAAAGGAGGATCCTTGTAATCATTATTGATTCGAGATAATGCTAAAAATATGCTACCCATTGATGGCATGCGATAAATTTCTTGATTCCTTAGTACAGGCAGGTTCTCCCAAGGAAGCATCTGCAGTCAACAATTGAAGCAGGTGAGGTCACTGGAGATGTAGTAAGGCTATACTATGCTTCATAGTTCATACAAGGATGTTACTGACATAACAGTACTATTTTTTTTTTCTCGAATATGCAGGAGAGCTGCGTATCATTGTATTAAGAGAGGAAAAAACGGTCCCGTACAATTATACCCCCATACTCCGGACCGAGCCGTAGGAGGGTCCTGAAACAAAGTTCTTCTAACCAATAAAAACACACACTCTGGGTGAGACCTGACCAACACTCTAACCGCCTACCTACCCTGTCGCTAGAGCTGGACCTAAGGCATCAAGCTTCCGAGCACCCTCAAAGACACAGGCATTCCTGTGCTTCCAAATCAACCATGCACACATGACCACAAGTGAATTGAATCCTTTCCTCTTGTCCTTTGGGGTGCGCTTACTTGCCTTTCTCCACCATTCTGCAAAATTCTGCTCGTTTAAGCTTGGCACCCCATGTTGGAGACCAAGTGGTGACAGGACCCGGAACCAAAACTCGCGTGCAAAGACACAAGAAGTCAGCAGGTGTTGGATGGTTTCGTCCGCTTGATCACAAAGTGGGCATTGGTTGGGATGGGGCAAGTTCCGTTTCGCCAAACGATCCACAGTCCAACATCTATCCCATACAGCCAGCCACAGGAAAACTTTGCACTTGGGTGGTGCCCAAGTTTTCCAGATTCGGCGCCAAGGCTCAAAGTTGATCGATCCATGGAAGAAGGCCCGGTACGCTGATTTTGTTGTGAAGACGCCTGAACTTTCAAACCTCCAACTATGAGTCTTCATTTGGAGAGAGCATGAAATCCTGAATAATGTCCCGAAGCTGGAAGTACTCAAAGAGGCCGATCATCGAGAGTCCTCCCTGTAAGTCGCTAGGCCACTGCTGATCATGCAGTGCAGCAGCAACTGTACGGTTGCGAAACCTCTGAGGTACCAGTGTGTAAACATTTGGGGCAAGATCCTCAATGCAACACCCAAACAGCCACTTATCTGTCCAAAAGTATGTGTCATTTCCGTTGCCAACATGAGAATGTAAAGCAATGGCAAAGAGAGCTTTTGCATTTTGGTGGACCGGCACTTCTAGGCCTGACCAAGGTCTCTCCTTGTCTGTCTTTGCAAGCCACCACCATCTTATTTGCAGTGCCCAGCTCATATACAGTACTAAATAAACAGCACAGTAAATCCCAGAGTGCAAAGCAATAAGTTAGGAATTGCCTAGCAGAACTAGGTGCTGATTTGACTGGGAAATTTAAGGTGCCACTTTGACTGAGACATTTACAGCGCAAAATGTAGACACCCAAATAGACCACCTCACAGCGTCTACCGTCTAGTTATCTACCAGATAGCACCAAAGGAAACTGAAATGGACAAAGTGAGGCTAGCGACAAATAATATATAACAGCACTCATGATATTCACCCTTACCAGCAAAATATGCAGTCAAGTAACAATTGCATCCAGAGTTCTAGACTTATAATGCAGATGCGAAGTATCAAGAACATGTAAAATTATTAAATTGCATAGGAAATGACTTACAGTCAAACTATTTTGTTGCTCACCTGAACATTGACATCAAGAACTAAAATAACTGGACCTCTATCAGCTGGCTGAGGAAACTCATATACTGCATCTGTTATTGAACATTTGAGTGTGTCCATAGCTCCATCATCCATTTGACAGGAAGAGAAAGCTCTAAGTCCATCTTTCCCACAGCACCCTCCCCTTCCAAAGTAACCTTTATACAAAATGAGTTGGAGAAAACATTCTTGTACTTCATCCACTGACACAGCACCACCAAGGATAGTCCTGATTAGCACTGGATTGGCTTCAAATTTGAATTTTGTATACAGATCAGTGATAATACTTGATAAGGCAGCCTCAATGTGTTCATCAGATAATCGATGGCCCAACAGAAGGCATTTCCAGGGTCCAAACCAAGAATCTTCAATGTCTCTGTTCGAAAGAATGAAAATGATATCAGGAAAAGAAACATTATCTTGTGTTGACACCACCAAATTCCAACAGATGAACCAATTTAAACTTTGATATGCATAGGTAATCTTACTTCAGTGTGTTAGCAAGGTAATTGTTGAGCTTCATTCTATGCGACCACCACCTGACATGATCTGCATTTACATCATTAATAGTAAGGGTTGTGCTGGAGAGAGACATAAAATTCTCCTCAAGTATATTTCTGAAAATTGGGGCCACATCGTCTGTAATTCCATAGCCCCAAGGGCACTGCCACTTCTTATCTAAAACTCTCGTTGGATTGCCCAAATCTTTGATGCAGGAATCTTCAAACTGCATTTCTGTTAAGCAATAATAAGCAAATAAGAATACAAAGATCCAAGATTAGATTTAGTTATGGTTACATGCAATCACAATATGTAATCTGCATACCTGAAATAGCATCCACTGGAAGAAGCAATGTAGTAGGTTCACTTGTTGAATCAAACCTTGAAAGCAACATCCAAGCAGGAAAAAATGGAGGATGGCAATGGAATTTCAAAAGGGCTTTAACATAATCACCTCCAAGCATACTAATGCACAGAACTGGTACATCAGGAAGTTTTTGGAAGAATTCTGTCATATGTTTCTCAATATGTATTATGTCCCTTGATGACAACCTGATAAAGAAATTTAGATTTTACTACACGTTTGCAGATGCAATATGATCACAAGTTCAGATGCTACATAAAATTCTAAACCTGAGAAATTCCGAAACATCGTCATCCGTCTCATTTCTGAAATCTTCATGGGTGCCCTGAAAATGTGAGTAGATACGAATAAAAGATACAGAATACGGAACTGTTCTGATCCGGCTCTTAACTTGCTAAGGTACAAACTTTCGGAACCTTTTCCACGGATGATGCTTGTAAGTTAGGAATGTAATGACAATTGAGATAAGTTCCCACAGAAACTTGATGGAAGTATGCGGCCCAGTGATTCAAAGAAAGAGATTCTTTATGAGAACCCAAAGGCAGTTGAATTGAAGAATCTGTAGTTGATAGCAAGAATATGCATGCAAGTAACTTGCAAACCTGCAATGGGAAATTCGGATTTTAAGACAGAAGCCACAAGCAGTAAAACAAGAATGTAATGATTAAAGAAAACGGTAGCCTGACTGTTATTAAAAAAAAAACTAGAATAAGTAATATCCACTAAGCATTATAAGTAGTCCACAGTACAATTGCACAAGATAACATAACATAACAAACCTCCTGAACAAGTGAGGGGCTCTCTCTGGATAGAACAAAAGCTTTGAGCAACCAGGGAACAACATCAGCCATTTTTACACTAGAGAAGATACAGCAGATGTCCCTGTAGAAAAGTACGATGAAACGAAAGACAATTAAGCACGTATCATGAATTGCTACAACCAGAATGTCATATATGCATATGTTGCATAACAGGAACTTGATGAAACAAACCTTGGCTGTTCAGAAAGGGAGCTTTTTAGCAAGAAGAAGCTCATACTCCATAGTATTTCTGCACACTCTAAAGGAAGAAAATCACCAATAATGCTCCTATCCATGATTAGTCCAATTAAACAAGGCCCATAGCAATCCTGTGGAAGGGACCTGAAGAACAGCAGTGATATGCACTTCCAATAGACACTATGAACTTCATGGTCCCCATTGCTATGAGATCCCAAGGCTCTAGCTGCAAAAAAGGGCAAAAACGTAGCTGAACCAACAGATAGCTCAATTACAGGAATTTGATCAAACTTCTTAAGCAGCAGCACATGAAAGTATCCAACATAATAATAATAATACTAACATGGGCCAGCACATTTTGCAGAATCACAAGGTCCTCCCTTGGTATCCATAGCAAGCCAGAAGGTTCTTACACCACAAGTATAGACTAACATATATTTCCATTAGCTTGTAGGAACAATATTCCCCTACCAGTAAAGCAGTAATACTTCATAGACTTTAAATAAAGTCTCGTAGTTATTAGAGAGAACAAAGGATCAGCTACTTATCACATTAACAATCTGAAATTCAGACTATGGTGTAATGAATTAACCAACATTTTCCCAGCAATATTTTATAGTTCCTAATTGTTAAACATATCAATACCCTATACTAGGCTACTATTTTGGTGTTAAAGTTAAACCAACTCGCAATAGCATGCTAACCTAAAAACCCATGCTATTGCAGACTTGCACTGATAAGCAACTTTGTGCAAATCCAACATGCCATTTAGCAGAGTAAATTAAAAACACATCACTCAAACAAACTAGTTAGATCTCCAAGGTACAGTATTTTATCAAATATGATTTTAGTATAAAAAAGACTAATATTAACCATAACCTACTAATATGTAGTGAAATGTCAGCTATCAGTCTTTCATCTTACTCAAATTAATGCCCAAAACACACAACAACAAATTGATGAAGTCTCAAGGTACACCTAATCATTAAATATGACAATTATTCTGCAAACATTTATCATTTACAACTAATGTCAAGCCAATGATTGCATGTCTCATCTTCAAGCACAGAACACAGAAAGATAAACTAAGAAGAAAGTACCTTTTTTTAATAGAAGTGACACAAGGTAGCGGCGGCGAACACAGTCCAATCTGAGCTGCAAAATATTTTGAATGCACTCCGAATTCAATGATTTAACCAAAAGGCAGCTCCAACAACCAAACATATTGCATAAGTCATCGTTGCTGTGATCAATGCCATCAGGAAAACACTCTGCTTCACCACAAACCAAAATATCTGCAGCCAATTCATCACTCCCAGATATGTTATTTTTACTATTTAGCTCAGTTAAAACCTTTTCACTTTTCATATGTGCATTACGCTTACTAGAGCGAGTTCTAATCTTCGCAACAGTCTCTACATTCTGTTCATTGGCTAAATGTGGTGAATTTCTGGATGGCCTCTTAACTTTAGCATCTAATGGTGGACCAGCTTCAGCATTCCCTGACCTTTTTCTTCGAACTTGTATTGCCGTGCAAACACTACATGGAGATAACAATCCATCCTTTGAAGTTGCGGGTTCTTTCCGACAAGTATAAGCTTCATGTTTGATCGGTATTCTACAGTCTTTGCTGCACACAAGACAACCAGTTTTATGTCTATCATTGGACCCATTAAAATATTCCAAGTCAATGCTGTTCAATTTCTCTATTGCACATCTGTACATGCCTAAAGCATTAGACAGATCAGCTGTCGACTGTTTCTGGAAAAAAATTTCAAATAGACTCCAAGACAGGTCACCAACTTGCATGTCAACTGATATCCCCAAAGTTAACTTGCAGACTTTACATGAAATGGTTGCATCATTTTTCACAAGAAGATCTCGGGCATGGTTAAGCTCACTCTTCGCTTCATCCCATAGCTGTCGCTTACGGTATAGTTGACCTGAACAAAATTCAAGGAATGTGAGATAGAAGGAACAGATGATCAAGAATTATGTTTTCCTAGAAATGGTGTAAACTATACAGAAAAACCGATAAACCATGGAAATAGAATATATATACCTAGAAATGATGTAAAAACAATACAGAAAACTGAAAAACCATGGAAATTTGATATCTCTCTTCCTATCCGTAAGAGAGCTTCTGCTTCAACACCATCTCCAATCAATTCGTACATCATAGCGACCTGTAAACGTAATTTACTGAGAATCATGCATAAAGAAGTCATTATACTACTGCCCGTGGTTGTGGTAATATACAACTCCAGTCCACACTCAATTGGTTCCAGTAGCATACTTCTCTAATCTTTGTTTGTATTAAAATTACCTTATGCTACAGTATCACAATACCTGTAAGGTGCTCTCAAGGTAGTATCTAAGTACACTCCATGGAGTAAGGAAAGAATCTCTCACGCTGGATGATCTGCTGGAATCTGGCCAAATCTCAACTACTGTTGGGCCACGCACTTCAAGAGAAAAGTCCTGCCCGCAAGGTTGGCTTTCCATATTTCCAGATATGCCCGATTTGAGTTTGAACTTCTTTTTTAGGAGCTTTTTACGCAAATTGAGGGCTTCTTTTCCGTATGAAATGGCCTGTAAAAACAAAACATTGGATGTGCTTACTTACACAAAAGCTACAGTATTGACCAACTACAAAATCTAGAAGCAGTTACTGAAGAATGTGCACCAATGTTCTGCAGGAATTAAAGATCAAAGCTAAATTGTTGAAAGCGAGAAAGCGTAGTTACCTGGAAAAGTTGTCCGCGCGAAAAAAGTCTTTCTGACAAGTCATAGTATAAACAGCTAGCTAGAAAGATTGATTGGTCATTTGGTGTAACCTGCAGAATACAATAAAATAATTTCAGAGGGAATAAGGGGTCATGGTTACTAATTTGATGCAATGCAACTAACAGAACTTACTTCAGAAACCAGAGATGAGGCAGCTTTGCTGACGTCATCAAAACTGAGCTGCTTTCCAAAGGGATGCTTACATGACTGAGGAATAAATAGGTTACTAGGCAACATCCTCTGAAGAAACATAGAGAGAGAAGGATTGTCGCCTTCGAAACCGTTTATCCAAAAACTAATATGGTGGCTATGTACATCAAGATGCTCTGCGGCAATAGAAAGAAATTGCTCATCCAGTGGGAGATAACAGCAGCATGACTAAGGCGCCCATTGGTCACCAGCAAGGACAACAACTTTTCAAGGGGTAATTTTTCTTGCTTCCAAATCATGATCATAACCTTGCACAACTTAAACTGAAGCTCAAAACAGCCCTGAGATGGCAGAGTAAACATGCATGATTATGTTGCTAAAGGAAAGCAATTGCATCTCATCCAACTTAATAAACTGAAGATATATCATGACCCTACCTTCATAGACAACAGGTCAACCAAAAAACAAATAAGTGGTACAATAGTCTGTGATGGATGTTGCAAAACCATGTCAGGAGAAGAATGATCGAAAGTCCCCATCTTCAACCACAACTTAAGTGCTTTCTCAGCATTATCAAATATTACCTATGCAAAATAACAATAATGACACTAAACATAATTAGATAAAGCATAACCATGTTATACTAAACATAAACATGAGTGTGCTCGTATCGCTTATATGAACACTATACACTAACATGGGTAGGGTTTGAAGCGGTTACCTCCCCACCAGGATTGTCTTCCTGAGCACAATGTGCATACAAGCAGTATGCAATGGCCAATTGATTGTTTGCAGTAGTGTTGGCATCAGATGAATCCCCTGAGATCTTTTGCTGGTTAGATGAACAAACATTAATCTATAACTCCCTTTCTTTGTAAATAAGAAAAGGCAGTATGGGATCCAAACTCACCAGTAAGGATATGGCATCATGTAAAGACTCAAGGCAGCTTTTTATGTTTTCCACTCCAGATGCACGAAGTGCACCAGCCTTTCTTAAAAGAACCCTTGATCTGTCCAAAAAATGCTCTTTCGAACAGTAAATTTTATGCAACAGAACATCTATGATCCTTATCTGCATTTTAGAGCAGAATTCTGTGCTTTGGGCTTCAGTTAATCCATATGCTAGTAACTCCTGTAGAATATAATGTTTTCCCAGAGTAGTTAGCCCCAACAACAGAAAACTACAGATACACCAAATTTAATAAAAAAAAAGGGCGTACCCAGTGCAGAGAGCTCCCGCTCTGTGCGGGGTCTGGGGAAGGGTGTTAGTGGCAAGCCTTACCCTCGCATGGGCAATGCGAGGAGACCGCGACTCGAACCCGGGACCTTCCGGTCACAGGCGGTAAGACTCTACCGCTTGCACCAGGCCCGCCCTTCACCAAATTTAATCAAACAAAATAAAATATGGTACCTGCTCTACTATTAAGCCTATCAGCTTAATTGTCCATGGAGACCGATTTTTCAAAAGAGAGGGATAGAGAAGTGGAGCACCATCCACCTTATTATCCCCAAACTCTTTGTGTACAGCCTATAATTTAAGAAACAGAATATAAGTTACACTAACATAATAAGTGTTTAAAAAAAGCAGAATTGTTTTTAGTCAGTACCTTAACCCATGCCTTGATCAGTATAAAAGAACCTTTGAAATATTCAGAATTATCGCAGTCAGACAACAATTCAGACAAGCTCTTCACAACAATCCCAAGTGTTGTTTCTATTTCTGTGCCACATCTACGTAGAGTGTCAACCATCTTTGCAATCCTTGCAAATGCATCCAAAATGATATCCATCAAAATGTTGTTTCCTTTTGGCCTTGAGGATAGTCTACAGTAAGAAAGCCTAACATGTGCCCATATTGTTTGGCAGCACAGTTCTAAAGCCTTTGGTGCCTGAAGGAGAGACAGCAATATTCACTTCAATGGCAGCTCAGAAGGGGTTGTCCTAAAAAAAATAGAAGAAAAGGAAACTTAGAAGGAATACCTCTTTAACATGTTCAGTATTATGAAGTGTCACTCCAATGTTGCTAAGTGAAGGTATCAAGAATTTGAGCTCCTCAGGCGCTAACCATTTACTTGAAATGGCACGGACGACAAAACCCAAGCTCTTCTGGACTATGCAAGCAAAAGGTGTTAATGGACAATAAGGATAGTGATACAGAGCTAGTAACAGCAAGCGACTCAACGGCCATTTTCAACAACTAGCAACTGTATATAACCAAGCAGATTTACTGATCACTATATCTTAACAAAATATTAATTCTCGGCATAAATATTAACAGCATGATATAACCAGGGATTTTGTAATTGCACTAGGCGCAATGGCAATGTAAACACACTAGAATACCTGGACATCTTTCTTGGTAACAAAGGAAAATTTAATCGCGGATACAAGGACTGTCGGTAAGGTTCCATGTTGTTCATGCCGTCTCTCGTTGTCTCCTTGAGACATTTGCATACAGCTGTTACAGCACAAATGACAAAACATCTTGTACAGTAAGCATGCATCAATAAAGGTTCTCGCATTTCACTAATTACAGTGCCAATACTTTATCTTATAGACCTACCTAAAATACGCGAAGCTGGAATCGACAAACTGATGCAGTGCTGTCAAGAAATAGTTCATGTTACCAGAATAATGGGTTGGTTTTCCTTCAGAGAAGTTCTTCCAAAGTGTATCCACTTGCTGTGATAATACCTTGCTAATAAACTCCAAAGAATCCAAGTATGTGACCAAAGATGTATTATCATGTGGCCATCGTGCTAATGTGCCAAGAGCTTTCTCTAAAGCATGTATGTACTTTTGATCCTTGGGAATAGCCACAGATAAATAGGGTGGTATTTCACTTTCTGCTTGCTGGGCACTCAAGTATAACCCAGTCGCATAAAGACGAAGCATTGATGCAGTAGGAGAGGAAACCTATACATCGCATGAATTTACACAAATCAAAACAAATGTGCACCAACATGGTATGCTTAATGGGAATTCAGTGCTTAAAAATATAATACAGCAATGTACCTCAGAGAAATAACCACTTTGTTTATAAAGTAGTTCTGATGCGCCAACAGATAAATCCCGTTTGGCAGAAAGAACGAACCGACAAAAATACGCCACAAATACTGGAAGCTCATTTACAGATTTCGGTAAATCATCCTGAAAATGGTTTACATTACATACAACAGGTAATAATGTCTTGATGATAAAAGACCCATTAGCCATTATTTATATCTTGATGAACTTATTAGTGTGATGGGATCAAGAGCAGAGAACATTAAGTAGGTGGTGAGCTCAATACAACTAATAAATGGGATGCATAAGCACATCAGAAATCTACACCATATTACTCAATTATATCTGTACACATTACACAATGACCTATCTCATCAGAAATTCGGAATCATAAAATATAACAAGACAAAGAAGGAAATCAAGATTACTTAAACAACACCCCTATAGTACATGAAGGCCAAATTAAGTCTCAACACTACAAAAAATAACTGATTAAGTACTGAATTCTAACACTAAGATAGTGGTGCTGTAATATGGTATAGTTGGAACAAAGTAATCATACAACTATACATAGGAGTCTAATCCAATGTATACAAGATGCTGAAAAACAGGGCTCTTAAGATTGTTTACAAGTTGAATCTATGCAGAAGGCCAGAAGCTCAACTAAAATTTCAGAGCATTCCACAACATCTGCACATCTCTCCACTCACACATCTCCAAAACTACAGAACCGTACTTATATTCAAAATTTTGAAACTAATGACCTACACATCAGTTTAGCACAAGCAATGTATCATTTTTGTTTTTAAGTTTGGCAATTCATTGCATGTTCTTTTGGCGTTTGCCATTAATCACTGTAACTGTTAAATTTAGCATGATGCCATGATGTAACATGCTTCTGAAGTTTGGTGAAATTCAACATTTTTCACTGGGTGCATTTGTAGATGTTTTAAGTGTCCATACGAATACATATCCTGCACAAAATTCGTTAATGTTATGAGCAAAAAAATATCATTTGTCCCGCATGTGCAAAAGACAATCTATATTACTCCTGATTAATGACCTATTATATCTTCATGCCTAGTATTTGCTAGTTGTATAAGGAGGAGGTTTTTGTATATTTGCATAGACCTTTACGTGTATTTATTCAGCCCTAGAGCCCCTGTAGTGAATAACAGTGCTACTCATAACAATTGAAAGGTGCACAGCAGAGGAATTACAACAGACTTCCAGTAGCATGAGTAGAAGGAGATTACCTTTACATATACAACAGAATCAGTGACAGTTTCTAGTATGTAGAGCAAAAGCTGTGTGCTCCCTCCCCAACTCAGATCTACAGAAGAGCAAATCTTGCGAGCAATCTGCAGCCAGGGAAAAACAGTACCAAAATTAACCGAACAATCTAAGGATCCAATTTGCAGAACATCGATAAGGAAATCAATTTCATAATGACACATACTGCTGGAAAATGCTCGATCATGCCCTCTTTCACACATTCTTGCACTGTGTGTCGACAGAACCCATGAACTAGATCACTACTGAAAAATGAAGACTCAGAAACCAGAAAAAATGTGCACCGGCTCATGCCATTCACAAGCAGCGGGAGATACTTCCTCCTGGCTTCATTAGTAAGAATACTGCACACAAACATAAATTCCTGATAAGCCCACTCAGTATCTCTCTTATTTGATGAATCCTAAAACAAAATTGGTGATCTCACCGAAGCCATGGTTTTAGCTGCTTGAAAAGGCTGATAAGTCGTTCGTAAGGGGCAGGTTCCTTCACCTTGCCCTTGCTGGAACAATTGGCAAGGCAGGAAGTGAGTTCGACCGCAAGTATGGTGACTTCAGGATCCGTGCCAGCCTCCCCAGCGCTGCCAGGGTCCGGAAGGAGGACCGAATCAACGCTTGCTGCACCACGTCGCGACTTGGTGCTCGTGGTGGGTGGAGAGAGCGCGGAGCGGAGGGCGTCGAGGGTAGCCGCAGCCTCCGCATCGGCGCGTGCGAGGTGGCCGCGCGACTCGAGGCAGCAGACGAAGCGGCCGCGATGGAGCAACATGGAGTAGGGTTTCCCCGCGAGGCAGGGTGATATGGCCTGTAGGCAGTCCAAGAGGAGGCCGTAGATCTCAAACAGTTCGTCGGCGGCCTCGCCGCTCTTGTCGCCTGAGCCAGGACTCGCGCGGACGAGCGGCGGGAGGAGGTGGAGCGCGCGGCTGAGAAACGGGAGGAATCGCTTCGCGAGGGGGCGGAGGGTGGCCGCGTCGGGAGGCGGCGGCTGCTTGTTCTTCGTCGCCCTCTTCTGCGGTGGCTTGGGGTTAGGGTTTGAGCTAGACAGGTAGGGGGTGAAGGGCTGTAGGTAGGCGGCGAAGCGAGAGTGGAGGCCAGCGTAGGAGGACGGGGACGAGAGGGCAGCGACGAGGTCGGCGGCGGCGGCCTCCATTGCCGGCATAGGAGGACGGGGACGAGAGTGGATGAGCGGAGAAGCCAAATTGGGGAAAATTTGCGGTCGGATCTCGGGGTGGGAATGGGCGGGAAAAGGCGACTTTACTCGTATTTCGGAGCTGGGACTTGGAGGTTGGGACTGGAAGCGGCCGTTGCCGGACTATCAGTTTTCGATTGGAGTAGGAGGCGTGCCTGCAAGACTGAGAATTGGGCTTCTTCTTCTTTTTTCCGATTCTGAGAATTGGGCTTTCTCGCTGGGCTCTTTTGAGGATTGAGTGGGCTTTTGCATGAATTGAGATCAAGCTTATAGGTTTGCTTTTTTTAAGCAAGGTTTGCTTTTTCTAATGTGACCTGAGGGTTGAACTATTTTTCGTCACCATGCCATACATCAGCCAGAAAGAGGTGGTGCAGGCGTCCCGCTGGCTTGGTAGAACGGGACGAGGCATCACAGGTGGCCGTGCACACCGCCGTCCATGTTGGTGAGCCTGCAGGAGAGCGAATCTCACCAAGCAATTGCAATGGCCTTCGGGTTTTTTTATTGCGCTGTAGGACCAATACATCTCATGACAAGACGGCCATGGCACCAGCTAGTATGAACTTCCATGGCCAGTTACAAACTACTTTAACTCGCTATTATTACAAGAACTCGATAGAGTGTTTCTAGAGATCGACGCGTTACTAGGGCTCTAAGACGCGGGTCTGTTTGATCGGTGACTAAAACCTGCCACACCAAAGATTCATCATGCCATAGTTTCGCAGCTGTTTGGTTCATTGCCACATATATGACAAGCCAAACTTTCTTAGCGCCCTATCCCACATGTCATAGACTTATTTTCGTGACAAACATTACCACAAGTGTGGCTTTAATTTTGATCGCCACACTTTCTTTGACAGACACAGTTTTACCGAAGATTAGGCGTGGCAAGTTTTGGCCACCAACCAAACAGGCCCGCAGTATTTCTATGTACAGTTGCATCTTGCACGACATCCGTTAGCTGTTAAAGCTTCAGGTCAGAAGACAAGGCAAGCTTTGTCGAGGTCGTACCCCATCTTCTCCAGGCCCGGGCGCACCGTGCGCTCGATCATCGCCGGCGGCCCGCACACGAGCGCAAGCGTCTCGCTGTCTCCCAAAGGCAGGTGCTCCCTCATGACCTGCTCGTCCACTCTCCCCACGCCGTACGCCCACCCGTCCTCCGGGCGCGCCACCTTGCTCACCACGTACCACACCTTGAGCCGCGCCGGGTGCGCGGCAGCCCAGCGGTCGATCTCCTCCCGCAGGAGCATGTCGTCCTCCGTCCGGTTCGCGTACACGAGGTGCATCTCCGTGTCGTCGTCGGGATGGTCCCTCAGCACGGCCTGGATCACCTGGTACACCGGCGTGATGCCCGTCCCGCCGGAGACCATGGCGAGCCTGCGCGCGAACCGGCGCGCGCCGTTCACCACGAAGCCGCCGCGGCCGGCGTACTCGATGTGCCCTATGGGCCCCTTGATGTCAATGGTCGCGCCGAGCGGCATGGAGTCCAGGTACTGCGACATGAGCCCGCCGTTAGGGTACTTGGGGTCCTCGTCCTTGAAGTATATCTTGATCAGGAGCTCGACGTGACCGACCTCGTCGACGGGGCTCGTGGGCGTGTACGCGCGCATGCAGAGCTTGCCGTCTATCGACGCGCACACGTACACGTGCCTGCCGACGGGAAGACCGAGCTTCTGGTCCGGCGAGGGCAGCGCGAACCGGAAGAGGCGCACGTTGTAGGATAGGCTCTTCTTGTCAACGAGCCGGCACCTGACCTTCTCCCGCGGGTTGGAGAGCGCGACGGTCGACACCGGCAGCGGCGCCGGCGCGACCGCAGCAGGGGCCTCGTCGATGGCCCTGAGGTCGGCGTGGCTGTTCTGTGGGGAGCAGTCGCTGCCGGTGACGACGAGCTCGCCGACGCGGTACATCTCGAGGAGGCCGCGGGCTTTGTCCGAGTGGATGGCGTCGAACTCCTCGGTGCAGTCGGTGCCGGCGTTGATGAGGATGCTGTCGGCGCCGCCGGGGTGGTCCTTGAGGAAGCCCGTGCAGTCGTAGATGTGGCCGTGCACGATGATCCATGCGGAGTCCGGGGACGTGTGGCGGCGCACCTCGGACATGCTGTACTGCGCGGTGGCGGTGTTCATGAAGGGCGTGGACGTGCTCTTCTTCAGCGTGCCCTGCGCGCTCTCCGACGTCTCGAGGTGCTTCTGCCGCGCCATCCAGCCGCCCGCCTGGTTGCCCGGCTGCGTCGGGTGCTCGAACACCATGCCGATCTCGCCCTTGTGCGGCCGGCACGCGTTGATCTTCACCCGGAACCAGCAGTTGTTCATCATGCCCTGTGCGCGCAGGAACAGCCGCACGTGCGTGCATTTAAGCTAACACAGCCGTGGAGGACAAGCATCGGAACGACGCCACGATGAAGCGGTAACTCACCATGAGGTTCCAGATGAGCTTCTCCGGCTGGGTGTTCATGGCCTCGTCCCAGGCGCGGACGGCGATTTCCTTGGCCCCGAGCACGTCGAGCAGCTCGACGTCGACGGACCAGAAGCACCAGCACCAGTACTTGCCGTACTTGGTTGGGCGCTCCGGGTGGTCGAGCGAGCACACCTGCCACGTCTCGCCGTCGTCCAGGGTCACCTCAACCCGTGTAACTTTCCGGCCGCCACCTGCCAGCAGAATCATCACCACGCGGAAGGTAAGGAAACGAGAAAAAGAAAGAGGAAGGCCCAACAGAAGCCCAAAACGTTGGTTGACTGGGCTTTTACATGGAGAGAGCCCGAGCTCAAACTAAATTCGGATTCCTCCTCCTAAATTCGGAGTATATGCGCATAGGAAATACGAAAAGATTCACATGAGGCGGCGGCGCGGCGGCGGCACGGGTGATGATGCGTTGTTTGACTCACCAGAGTATGCATATCCCTTGATCGTATACGGCCGCTGCGTCGTCAGGGCGTTGATGGGCAGCACCTCGTCGTGTCCCGGCGTGGTGATCACCGAGTTGATGTTCAGCTCGTTTATCATGTACTCCGGCTTGTACCACCACGCTGCACGAAACCATCCAAAAAAACACATTTAGCCCGTGCGCTCGTCGGCGACCAGAAGAAACAATCGATGAGCGAGGCATACATACCTTCGGCATTGGCGAGCTCGGCGTCGACGTGGGACGGCAGCACACGGTTGTCCCGGTAGTGGTAGTAGCTCTCGGACTCGCTGGACGCGACGACGATCCGCTTGAGCCACTTAACCATGCGGCCGCCGATGAAGCCCGGTACGATGACGCGCAGGGGGAAGCCGTGGTCGGGCGCCAGCGGCTCCCCGTTCTGCATGTAGGCGAGGATGACGTCGCGCGCGGGGTCCATGGCCACCCCTCGCCGCAGGCTGGTGCCGTACTTGCAGCCGCCGCCCCCCGGGAGGTCCTCGGCGCCCTCGAAGCACACGTTGGCGGCGCCGTCCGCTGCGCCCATGACGCCGCACCAGCGCAGCACGTCACGGAGCCGCGCGCCGCGCCACACGGACGTGGAGATGGCCCCGGGGCCCCAGTTGAAGCCGACGGTCTGGCGCACCATGTTCTGCTCCTTGCGCCGGTTGCCCGCGCACACCAGTGTCACGGGGAGCTCCACGGCCTCGAACTCCGTCACCAGCTGCTCCATGGTGAGCTTGGCGGGGCGCCTCACGAGCCCCGTCACCTCCACGGTCCAGGTCAACCAGTCCGCCCTCGGGACGGGCCCGTGGTTGCGCACGTAGTGGAGCGGCGCCGGGGTGATGAAGCCGTGCGCCATCAGCCGCGGCACCGGAGGCTCCGAGTTGAAGGGGTGCTTGCCCGTGAGCCGGACCAGTGCCGGGTGGCGACGCACCCACGCGTCGGAGGTGGCCTCGTCGCGCGGGTCGTGGACGGGCGGCTCCACCTCGAGCCGCGGGCGGTACAGCGACCGCCAGTCCGGGGGGATGCTGTCTTCGTCCTCGGAGTCGGAGTCGGAGCCGGAGCCGGCGCGGCGCTTGACTCCTGGGCCGCCGGAGTGGAACATGTCGAAGCTCTTGGGAGGGGCATTGCCCGGCCACGGGTGCGGAGCCAGGTGCCGATCAACAGAGGCCGCCATATTATCGTTGCGAGGGTACTCGAACCAGCACGAGTTGCGGAGACGGTTGTTTTGACCAGAGCTCGAGGCTAATTGGAAGCTCAGAGTGGCATGTGGTCTTGGAACTTGGAAGCTGGGGTTTATATAGGGACGGACGACAGAGCACGGCAGGAATGAAGAGGCGCGCGAGTAGACTCCGGGAGGTAGTAGTGGTGCGGGGTTTATTATATAGGGACGGACGACAGAGCACGGCAGGAATGAAGAGGCGCGCGAGTAGACTCCTGGTGCTTCACTACTGCATGACTCCTGGTACTATGCAATATGCATGCACACAGTGGGCGGCACATGTATACAAAAATCACGAGTGAGAGAGAGAGAGTTGGCGTCACCACACGCGCAGGGGGGCTGGAAATGGGAAAAATGGTGCGTTCGGCTGGTGTTCAACTGGATTTTTCGTGTGTTTCTTTTCCATGCTCCAAACGGCGTCGTCGCTTGCATGGCCGACTGGCTGTGGTACCTCCCTGCACGATATTTTAGCTTCCCCGAGTAGATAGCGACCGCTAATTTCAAGTCGCAATCGCATAGCGCTAGCTGGACTATTCAGAGCTCTATTTCTTTTTTTTTTTTCCTGAAACAAGTAGCCGGCTGTTCGGAATTTCAGACTGTTGTTTCGGTAAGGGTTGGTTGGGCTTCTCATCAGAGTTCTAATTAATTGGATACATTACACATGTGCAACCCTTCGGTAAATGCCGTGACCGTGTTGTGCTGAAGGGTCACTAGGACAAACTACTTTTGATGCGAATGCAAATCGAAGTGTTTCTTGACAGCATGTCACCAACCCCTGCTGTTATATGGGAATCGCGTCCCAAATGGCCTCTACTGGCTATAGCAGACACTGCACCGTCTTCT